GACTTATAGCGTTATTAAAGTTTTTACTCTTAAATATGGCCTTATTATTAGAACTAAAACTATATTCAAACCCATTAAATATTACCTATTACGGATAATGATCACTGCTTAAATAATCGCATCAACCTATCAGAGTTACGCCCAGGATAATGCCGGTTATTGCTATGTGAATAAAGCCGTGTCGGCAGTATTTACTAGAAAAACAGCTCTTTAACCTCCTAAGTAACAATGGCTATTTATTTAAGTGACGGTATGCTTTTGATGTTAATAAAAGAGTGAATATATAGCGAACTTGACTTTGAGTTGTCATTTTTAAGATGCATCTTACTTGGAAAGATCTTTAAATTTTGGGTCCGACAATAAACTTCCATTTGTTGATATTAATAAACGGTTTCAGGTATGTGGGTTTTTCATGCTTTTTTTTCGAATATCATGCACTTAACTAATTCAATTCAGTTCTCTTTTAATAGATTTATTTAAGTAACAGTATGTTTTTGATGTTAATAAAAAGAGCGAATGTATAGTGAACTTGACTTTGGATTGTCATTTTTTTAAGATATGTCTAACTTGAAAAGATCTTTAAATATTGGACTCGACGATAAACTTCCATTTGTTAATGTTGATAAACGGTTTCAGGTATATGGGTTTTTCATGCTTTTTTTTTTTCAGATATCATACACTTAACTAATTCAATTCGGTTCTCTTAATAGATTTATTTAAGTAACAGTATGTTTTTGATATTAATAAAAAGAGCGAATGTATAGCGAACTTGACTTTGGGTTGTCATTTTTAAGAAATGTCTTACCTGAAAAGATCTTTAAATATTGGGCTTGACGATAAACTTCCATTTGTTGATGTTGATAAACGGTTTCAGGTATGTGGGTTTTTCATGCTTTTTTTTTTTTGGATATCATGCACTTAACTAATTCAATTCGGTTCTCTTAATAGATTTATTTAAGTAATGATATGTTTTTGATGTTAATAAAAGAGCGAATGTTTAGTGAACTTGACTTTGGGTTGTCATTTTTAAGAGATGTTTTACCTGAAAAGATCTTTAAATATTGGGCTCGATGATAAACTTCCATTTGTTGATGTTGATAAACGGTTTCAGGTATGTGGATTTTTCATGCTTTTTTTTTTTCGGATATCATACACTTAACTAATTCAATTCGGTTCTCTTAATAGATTTATTTAAGTAACGGTATGTTTTTGATATTAATAAAAAGAGCGAATGTATAGCGAACTTGACTTTGGGTTGTCATTTTTAAGAGATGTCTTACCTGAAAAGATCTTTAAATATTGGACTCGACGATAAACTTCCATTTGTTGATGTTGATAAATGATTTCAGGTATTGTTATCCTCAACGGCGAGTCTGTCGCTAATCCGGACCAGGACTCGTACTACGTTGGGTGAGTGGGTCTGTGT